GTTAGTTGTAGTTACAATTTAAATAAGGTAGTGCAACCGTCCGGTTACAATTCAAAGGACCTCCTAGGTGGCCATAATCAATCGCGGTTTTTCAGCATTATAAGAGATTGCTGCCTCATGCAGGCAGCAAAAATGGCCTTGAATTGCTTTCTGATGTCAATTTAGTGACGCTTTGCAACATGGCATCCTTGAGTCACTTTACTGGGGATAAGCCAGGGTTTGGGAGAGTTAATCCGAAGTGAGGTGCCCAAGTTCAATTCGGTACAAACGAATAAAGATGCCTGATATGAATCTAAGCATGTAGTTTTCGGCATACCAGGTCTCGCTGGATATGTAGTACGATGGTCGGGCTTATCAAAGAAGTACTTATATATATTTATATACATCATAAATTCAAACCTGGCTGTTTCACAAGCTTCCACCAAATGAACGCCAAATCCCGATTTGAAAACTTATAAACAATATCACAAAATACCTAACCGGCTTGCCAAAAGACCGATCAATATTGCCATAACTCAGGACAAATTTCAAACAAATAAACGAACGAATTTTATGGTCGTTGATTTTTTGCTGAGCTGGGCAACTGGGTTGAGAACGTTTCATTGCCAATTAAAGCGACGTCACCACTGCATTTTTAAAGAGCGCACTGAGACTTAGCAATGGATTGATGTTTGTGGTAACACGATTTGCTAAGATATCTCCGCTGCTTGGAACTTACACTATGGAAACGGATGAATGTTACGTTTCTCTAGTAAATGGATTTTACCTTCTGCCGAATTGTCATGCGGCCACCAACCAGAATAGGAATTGAACTGACTGCAACCACAAGAGCACATATTTGAGATTGGTTGAAAGTTCGGTCCATCCAGATTTCTCTTTTGGATGTGTATAGTAATTTTATAAATACAATACAATATTAACTTATTGTGTGCCCCCGGGCAATCACTGAGTGACGCTAGAGTTTGGACGGCTGGTTTGGTTACCAAGCTTTTATTATCACGGCTCGGCTTTCCTACATTTTTCGCAGTGTCTGTCACGTGACACTGATTCAGTGCCGTACTTACTGGAAGTCGACCCCGTTTAAAGCGAATGTTTATGATTTTTACTATATAAAAGTCGAAAAATCCGGTTTAACCTTTTACGCCGCGACTTCCGGTGGTTTTTTGGATGTTTTTGGAATCCCAACTCCCGCATATGCAATTATCATGGAGTTTACCACACTCCTAACGATCCTGGGAAGGGTTGCACAAAAGAGGATTTTATGAAAAAATGCTAATAAACTTCTATTTTGGAAGCAGCTTATCTTAAGACATTCAACTCGTGTTAAGTTGTTTCGGTCTGGATTGGGAAACCTTTAGTCAATTAGCAATCAATTATCAGTTTAAATAAAAAAGGTTAGCGGGATGGTTAGAAGAATCAACTTGAGTAGTAGATAACCCAGTTCTAGAGAGAAGAAGTTATTTGTAGGTTTCCAGTGTCGCTTCAGGTGGATGCTATGCTCAAATGAAAAATATGACAAACACGTTGGCAGCCGGTCAAGGCTGGACCACATGGTATGAAGTTTGCGACTGGCGTCATATCCCCTCTCGGTACAAGTTGAATTTTCCTATAAGCACACTAGCTGCGCAGTCAAAATGATCACTACATTTTGGAATCGCAATCAGTGTGATGGAAAATCTGTGGCCACCGATGGTTTCGTTGTATCAGTTTTTTCCGCTACTTATAGTAATGTTTTATTTCTATATCACTTGGCGGCAGTTGCTGTATGCATTGTGAATTCATAAAACCGTTTTTTATTTTTCAAACGATTTTAGCGAGGAGATTTTTACGACTTGTTTGCTTTTGTTTTCATTTATTACTGTCTTAGAGCTTTTTAGTTTAAATTGAGTGTGAAATCGATGTTATGTTTTAAGAGCACATTGTTTTGCCATTCTTATAAGACAGTCATAAGCTCCGGTTTTTCATACTATTCGCTTATTTTAAATCATTTAACTTAGATTAACTCCCTGCATGAGGGAATTTACGTTGTGTCCGGAGCCTTTAAGCACTGCAAAGTTCCCTCCTCCACTTGTTCCTATTTACTCATGAGTAGTAAATTGGTGGAATCTTAAGTGACCATCCGTTAGTCAGCAAAACTATTGAAGCTTCGAAAGGCTTTAGCACAAGCAGCCGCCACACCATTGTTGTCGAAAGATTAATTGGTCAACGGTAGTGTGATTACTGCTTTTTAGATGCGCTTGAGTGCTATATCGCTTAAATTTTAAATTAAAAATAATCTGATGGCAATTTCGTGACAAAGAGCCTGGGTCTTACCGTAATATGATGGTTGTGTACTTTGGAACCCACTGAGCTATACTGGGGGGGTCTCTTGCGACAGTCGCAGAGTCTCTCACACCAGATTGGTCATTGGTTAGATATCTGACGAACAGTCTTTTAGCTCTCTAGGTTGGGGGTTGGAACATGTGTGGCGACGTGTTCCGTAAAAATAGTTACATACTTGCATTTCCCGCCAAACAGTGTTGCATTGAGGCCAGACTTTTGGGCCAAAAGCTCTGCTTGAGGATCTTAATCGTCCTCCTGTCTATATGTGGGCGTCATAGTAGTAACCCATCCCACGTACAATAACAAATCGCACACATGCAAATAAACTCATGCATTGGAATAAGGAGATGGTGTCAAATGTTTCTGGGGTATTTTAGTGTCGGTCCAGTGGCCACATACAATCTATGATCTACAGAATATGCACCTGACTGATGCAACATTGCAAGCAATTATGTGCCTTGTTGTTGGACAAAAACTAGACAGAATCTAATGAAAGATGCATTGCGGGAGGACATCTGTTGTCAGTAAACAGCTCCCAGTAACTCGCGAATCTCGACAGTAAGTTGTATGCTGCGTCATGGACATCGTTTGCGAAATTCTGACTACCTTACCAGTTACAGTATGTTGCTGTTAGACTTCACTCTAATTTGTTTGTCTTCTGTGATGATGGTGAGAATTTTCTACACAACTGTGAACACCCACTCACCATAACCAATCCACGAATAGATCTTTCATCAGTCGTTTGAGACCAAATGATTTGTTTAATCATTGGACGGCATAAATTTTTAATTTAATAAGCAGTTCACTTGACTAAATTAAATGCCGACTGGGTTTTAATCAATATATCCTTGAGATTAGATTATCCCCATTGATTATTATAAATCCGTTGTAGATGATTAAAAAAGATGAGATTATTCGGTGCACTGTACCAGATAATACACGAACACCAAAGACAGTTAGCAAAATAGCAGCCGGAATATTCTTTGGGTGAAAAAATATAAATGCGCCGACAACTGTATTGTAAACGTGATGGAAAATGGTAGATTTACGAAATGTCAAACATGTCAGAGTGCTCCACGTCTTATCTCTTTTTGCATAACAACTCAATAGCCCTTGAATTTATTAGTTTTTACACAGTACCCAAAAGACCATATATTGCACAGAATAGAATTCAAGGCTATTCCTTAGTTTATGCTAAACTAGTTGCGCCGCGCAAAAAAGGGCCCGGGAAGAGGCACATAGCTCTTTAATAACTTGAGTGCCAGCCAAACTGCGAAATTAAGCAAAGGCTAGCTTAATACAGGTAACTTCCTAGACCTTAATTTGGAAGCATTTACACAATTACCATGGCCACTGAGCACCAGCGTTGTTCTAGCTCCTAAGTATCTTCTTACAAATCAAGCCGGACACTTTAGGAAGGTAGCTCTTTATTGGTGTAGTAGAAGAAATTCGACCGGAAATGGCGAGAGGCAGTAAGTAAAGTGTAAAATGGCATGAAGTAAAATATATCTTTGGAGAATGCAGAACTACTATCTACTGGCATAAATTAGATCGACTTGAAATACCATTATTCTGGATTGATGTACAGTGATGTAATGAGTGAGCGTCCTAAGTACGCCAACTCTAGGTGTTTTGGCGGGGAATCGTTACGCAGGCGGGAATAACACTAGGCGGAATGAACTGCTCTAAATTTTATGGCTCACGTTTTAAATTAAACTAACCTTCTCTTAAACAGTTGAATACACAAAAGTGCTTTTCAGCATCATTTTGATATCATATTGTACGTTCACATACAGCTTTTGACTTTGAAGTAGAACATCCGACTACACCCATTAAAGTTGTAATTCTGATCCGGCCTTGAGGAGCAGGGACACTATCAATGTAAAGTAAACACGACACGTCGCATGTTGTTCTCCACTTTTTGAATTAGTGTGATGAGTGTTGTGTTGAAAACTTGTACTCTCTTTTGTGTTTCCTATATAGGTCAGGCTGCTCTGAATGCATGCAGGAAACAAACACAAAACATGATAAAACATACGCGGAGTCATCGATTAACTCGCCATCATTTCAAGAATACATTAATATTTGGCAGTTTTTCGAATGAATCATGTGATTTGTTGTTCATATAGTGATTTTGTTAGTTTTTCACCAGGAAAAAGTTATACTTGATCAATTTGATGGCACGGACAGTTAATACGTCTCTTTAACTGCACCGTTAAGCGCAGCCAAGCCAACTGGAATTCCCGACAACAGGGTCAGATTCCATTGAATGCAAACTGAGACAGGTTGTCCTGTTTAATCTCCCAGTTGGACTAGGACTATAAATGATTATGGTTTTCGTTTATGGTTACTGACAGATTTCACACAACGCATTTAGCAATACCTGTTCGTGTATCGACATCTATATTGATAACATGCTGACACAAGCCTCAGAGGATTATTCACCCCCAAAACACGTCCTTATTCCGCGAAATCCGTACATATTTCCCCAGAGTCATTGGTCGTTTGAAGCTACTGAAACTGTAGAGGGCAATTCCAACGACGATTTTATCAGATGTTGGGAGATGGCAATAATTAGTTTTAAAGCAACGCGGAATTAGTCGCACATTTTAGCTGTTTAATCTGCCACAGAAAAAACAACGCGCATTTGCTTCCAGCATGTTTTGAAAGGTGGAAAAATCGGCGCTGAACGGAGTGTATATTTGCAGACTATGACACTACAGATAAGTCAGTAGGGGGAAGGGTGTCGATCTTAGCCGCTTTTGATCACACATCAAGAAGCCCTCCTCGATATTCTTTGATTGGGAACCAACGTTTATTCGAGCCTTCCCATAGTCCGTAACGAATTGGCCTAAAAAGGTGTGAGAAGCAATATGATGCAAATTAGTTAAGACAACTGCATTCAGGTTAGATGGTGCTCTGTGCAATGAAAAAATAGCATTAAATAAATATCAGTTAGGCAGATGCAGTGAAATAGAAAAGCGGTAAAATAACTTTGGTGACGATATCACATATTCCCGTTCATCACATTTGAGTTGAAATCAATCAGTTAATCCATATGTTAGGTAAGATTTGGAGCTAAGCAACTTGTAAGTGAGAATACCCCAAAAGATGAAGCATCGTTTACAAGACGATGAAACACTAAAGACTAGTTTATCACTGCGTAACACAGCCTAATATTTGGTAATTTTTTAGGCATCAGAGACATGGTGGATAGCGTTGTCACCCTTGTGTACCGCCTAAGCAAAGGCAAAAGAACACCAAACAATGGGAAATCTACAGCTTAAATAAAAAACAAATCACGTAGGTCACACATCAACTTTAATTTTTTCCTCTGTTACGACGGACTATCTGCTCTGTAATTGTTCTAGAAGCACAAAGGAAAAGTATAAAACATTATTGTTAGACACTCCTATCAAATTAGGCAGAACACAATTTTTGTTTCAATGAGTCACCAGAGGAACAGAAATGCATCGTGCAATCATAATCTTGCGTAAAACCTGGACGTAAACGGTACCAGTTTTTCGTTATTCATCAATCCATTGAACAGAGGTATTCTGCTGTTAGTATTGTGGTCCACCTTGTGCAGTGCAACTGTTGTTTTTATTCAGGCTTCAGACGTACCCTGCTGCTTAACTACTAATTAACTACCTTGCTGTTCTAGCCCCGTTGTTTGTTTTTTCTGGAATTCCGTAACCGTTATCTTAAGTTGTTCTTTCTACAGTGAATGTTGTCTTTCAAGTCGGTTGTGTTGTGATTGTGTAAATTACTGACATGTCCCACAAACCCTGACATTGCTGTTCGCCTGTATTTGGCCCATTCGAGTTCGTCTTCCTATTGTGGATCACTAAGTGGCATTGAATTAATCAGTCGAGGGTATGGGTTTCAAATACCTGGAGGATTATCCCCAGGCCTTTTGTCACCCTTTGAAAATAACTTTTTTCATTGGTTCGAGTGTTCTTCATATTCGTGTTTGTTTAAAACGATGGGGTAAGTGATGCTTTTTGAATGACTGTGATGACCACAACAGCGTGTTGTGCACCACCTGCGGAAGTTTCAAGAGAAAGATCAGCGTAAACAATGCAAAACATCACAGCTCCAAGTATAACCACAACTAATTCACATTTCAATCTAATCCACAGTAAAACATGGTTTCTAAACGTTATACAGTCCCGACCATTGTATCACATTTTACTCCTGGTATAAGCATGCACACGAAACACTCATTGACAAGGAAACCAAACTTGGCGTTTTTAAGCGAGAAGTGAGTGCAATTTATCATGTATCTTTGTAACTTTATATCACCTTGATTCGGCGCACTATTGCGTCATCATAGGCGCCAATGAGTTTCAGTCCCGGTAACAAGCAACAATTTAAAAAATCGATGCATTTGCTTGGAAATCTGTCGTCGAAATGATGAAGCGCCCAAGCTGAGCAGAATACCAGCATAAGACTTCAAGGTTTTTGTATTCTTCTGTCGAGCCAGTATAAATAAGCAAATATCCACTCATGAATTACGATAAATCGACCACCCAAGGCACATCTGAAATGTGGGCAGTGGTTTTTATTTGGATTCTACTGATTCCAGATGATGTATATCAGATCCCTGGTGGTGTAATTCATTGCAGCATACGCCGCACACGTTTTCCCGCCACTAACAACTCAGAGTGCGCTCATGAATAATAAAACGTCGTCTTTTCTTTCCCAATAGGTCGGCAACCACGAAAATGCACTGAATTATCGAACTCAGGTGGTTTCACAGAGCCAGATAGAATGGTCTGTTTATAACTGAGTTTAGTTTTCAATCTACCTTCTGTGATCACTCTGCTTCCGGTGGCTACATCGTATAAAAGTATTCACGCCTTATCTCATTTATACATACTAGGAGAGACTGGTACACACTGAACTTAAACACAGCATTCAATGATCGTAATTTTATTAGAGCCAGAGCAGTTTCCAAGAGAACTGGATCCTTCCACAATATGGGCACAAACACCCTTGTAATTGCCTGCAAAATGTATCAATGTCTTTGGGTGCAAATGATAAATAATCGATAGTGCGTTGCGTGTTTTTCTTGTGGAATATCATACCTAAAATTTGGAACAGTATGAAGTAAAGCAACAGTGTTTCCCATCCTGTCGTAAAATCTTGTATCTCGCTGTGTGACTCAATCTACTATCCATTGCTACAGAAGCACATGATTAAAAACTTAAATACCTGTCCAAGTTTGGTCCGAAAACACTTACTTGCTGACTTGATTATTATTTCCCCGTCGTATTAAGACGCGGAAGTGGCTGGAACTGGCCGCGTCGGGACTTCACGATATTTCATATTGCATGGCATTCACCCCACCATTCATCATCATCTAAAAATTTCTCAGCACAGACATTTCTGCATATAAATTCCTCGGATGCATTTCAAAACTAGAAGTGATACAGAGCAGCCGTAAACTATTAAAGATTACCACACATTGAGGATTGTTTACTTGCAACAGGCCGGCATTCGGTATTTAATTTTTCACTACCAGCTCTTCAACAATTACTACCATTAGTGAGCTGTAGTTCGCAGCTGACTACACAAAGTGTCTAGCTAGGTTAAAAACGCAACCAACACAAGTGCGATATTGCATTAGGCAGAATGATTTTTCGGTAAAACATTAATCTTCGTGCTTCAGGTTTACCATATCGGATTCGCTGTGCACCGTAGAAGCTACATGTATTGTTGCTTAATGGGCAGCATTTGTTCAACATCGCTCACTCCATTTTCAAACAGCTTTACACCAAGCATGAAAGTTGGTTGACAAATTCCGACCCAAAGGCTTGTCAGTCTGTTTAGTGCAATAAAAGAGCTAGAAAATCGTTCGCTATTGTTTGGAAATAGACTAACGCTTACGTCGAGTTTCTTTTTGTTACGTTTATTCTGCAAGAAAGCTTGCCACACTCAAAACTTACACTTCAAGTCGCCGATAGCTTTCGTTTGCGTCATCCGCTGCATGTTCCAAGGAGTGTGGGAACCCGTGCGTTCCACTTGAAACGCACAAGACAAGGAGGAGAACAACTAAAGGTGGAAACAATGTAAAATAGAATCGACCTTTAAAGCTTCAAGCAGCCTTTCAAAACCACAGCATATATCATCTACATGGCATTTCTTTAAGAAATCTCCACAGCTTTTCGGGTTGCTCACATAAAACCCATGATTGCTCACATTTAAAAACTGTTTCCAAACAAAGGCTGACTCGCTAGTGCGATGTATTCACCTTCAGTAAACTACAAAAAGCTCACTCGACGAGTGAACTTCCCGAGAAATCTTTAATAGAGGAGTCGGGCTATAAGTGCCTATGTGCTGTGAAATCTCAGACTTGAATGGGGGAAGTGGTACTTCGACCCGTTTCTGAGTGAATTAATCGCACTGCTGCTCTCCCGACTGTGACCGAACTTTCTATCAGCTAACTTTATGCCGGAGATCACAGCTTCAGCTCCCCGTGGAGGTTTCCCAAGGTGATAATTCCTCATAATAAAAAGAACAACTGTTGGGTGATCCTTAACTCATGAACGCAGATCAACCTCACTGATAGGACGAAATTTCTATTTCTATTCCCCAATCGAATATATCATCAAGCAATCCTGCTTCATTAAATATGATGAGACCCTTTGCCTTTTTTTTAAAAAAGGGCTGCTTTGGATTTGAGAAATATGATGCAAAGAATTGTTTATCCTTTATTCCTAATTTATACATTAGGAGTGGTTTGCGTTTAGCTTTTGAAGCTTCCAGAAATACTTTTCAATGTAAAACATGTTTTCTGTTTGTTTTTCGTGTGAAACCACCTTGGCTGATGTCCTTTCCACACAACGTGACAAATTTGTTTACGTTAATGAAACTACTTTATTTGATCTCATTTGCGAGTTCCATTTTGGGATGCAGTAAACAATGATTTAATTTCTCAACAAAACCCAAGCCTTGGCATTGCAACCGGATGTAGCATACAACCGTATTTTACTTTCAGCTCATTTGCACGTTAATTGACTGAAATACGTTACACCAAGGTGTGAGAAATGACATGGAAGATTGGGTGACATTAGTTACACGCTTTGGATTACACTTCTACAAACAGGAACAGTCCGATGTCCGCTTCAGCTCGACCGATCACTGCTGAGGCCGGATGTAGTGTAAGGATTAGTATCCTTATATTAGCTTTGGATTGCCAAATGCATTTTTATGTGTTGCCACAGATTCTAATTTGCATACGACCGATTAGATTCTAAAGACAATGGAACTAGTTTTATATGCGTGTCACTTCTGAAACTTTATCGTCTCTCTCTGGAATTCAACTTACTTGAACGTAGTGATTGCTCTAGGGAAAATATCAGTTTATATTAAAACATTATACGGCTTTGCCAAACACAGACATAATAATTTGTTCCAAACTGATTTTTTTAAGTCCAACAGAAAATTATTCGACGTGAAAACCCAAGGTTACTTTATTATCCAATGACACGACAAAATGAGTCAGTTTACGTTTTATATGCATCAGAACCCGCTCAGAAATTGAGGAGGATTGTTAATATTCAGCATTCTTTGATACCTTCAAAAAATTTGATTTTGAAAAATCCTTACAAATGACCGGTTCCTCCGAGATTAGGGCTTTGCTACTACCCAATAAGGAAAGCTTAGTTTACTCAGTGGAATGCAGGTCTAATCATTAAGGAGTTTGTGGTTCGTTGATTATTGTTTTAGTAACAGTTTCTAATAATTTTCCTATCTAACAGATGACTAAAGAATTTGGTGTGTGATATAAAACCCAAAAAATAGTATGAAGGTATGACCTTGGTGAAATCCCATGTTTCTGCGCCTGCCATACTTGGTGATTTCTCCGAAACAGACCTGGTAGTGAGCGGATGCTTGGTACATCAAAATGCTTCAAAAGCATCTTGGTAGAAATGGCCTATTTTGCGCTACTAAACCCAAATTACTTCTAGAAACCATGATATTCCGGTTATGGTAGAGCGGCGATCTTTAGTAATAGACAGAACGCAATTCTGCACGGTGGCTACCTACGGCTAGGTATAAATTAAAGCGCTTGAAACAGGACTATCTGTTCACAAATTAGTGGGATTAGACTGTGTTTGAGCAACCCCTCTGCGAAACATGTGCAAACATCAGTAATTTAACGCGTTCCTCCCAAGAAGTGAGTAGTATGCTGCAAGCACTTTACATGACAATGTAAACTGGCTGCATTCGGCGTTTACAAGATTGTTCAGTCAGGCATGAGGGATAACTATTTGACTCGATAAATGTCAAAACCAAGTTTGCCAGGAGAAACTTGTCGGTTGTGTCCAAAATTATATCTACTATGCAGCGCACAACGCGGTCAACCATTTCATTCAAATTATTTGTTAGAAAAATTACGGTGATCTTCCAACAGTGGTAAGTGGTAAGTGGATTTGGTTGAATTATTACGACAACACTTTTGGCACCACAGCAAGGAGGGTTTTCCGTTGTCACTTTGTACATAAGATACACATATTTTGCGGTTTACAAACATGGACGCTTTGTCAAAACTTCATAACCTACATTATTTTCTAATTCCTCATCGGCTTTTTAACTTAAAATTAGTCATGACAAAGATGTTTTGCTGCAACTGCGAGTTCCAAGTGTTCTTAAATGCGACCTTTTTGGAAGTCTCCGAAACTGCTGAATGTGCCGTTTGACTGAGTTTTCTGGCGGTTTCTTATGCAGGATTTACTACGACTGCCGACGTTAAAATATCATATTAAGCACCACATTAGTATGCACCTTCTTACTGTGCAAGAGAATGCCTGGCACATGATTCCGTTACAAAGATGCTCAGAGGTTTGATCCCCTTTACCACGAGCCGTAATAGTGTAGCTCAGACGGCTCACGTGATGTCTCAAGTTCGATCGATTTACCAAATGCAATATGTCTTATCCATACTTAGAAAGAACACAGTATGTTGGAGACATGAAATACAAGTTATGACAAATGAGCTGACAATCAAAACGCACTTGGCAGATCATTCATAATTTTTTTAAACCGTTATTATTCGTGTGGCATGCTATTGTCATTTGTTGGGACACAAGGTCAAATATGCGAGCTGTTCCACTTAGAGAAATTCCGGTGGACGTACACCGTTTTCACTTGAAAGGTCTTAACATTCGGAATTTCCAATCACAGATATGTGCAGTGACAAGTACTAAAGGAAGGCTCAATGTTCTTCACTAATATGTTATACAATCTGTGCCAAGCTAAACGGCATACACAACTATTAGGGTTTCTATTCATTTCTTGAACATAGACAGGAATAAATTGTGAACGTAGCTCGCTTATTATTTCACTTATGTAACAGCAGAATACAACTTATCAAGCGCATTTTCTGCCAAGTGGTAACCAAATTTCAAAAGCTTATATTCATTGACAGCGTAACGGAGCCTCAGTGGCAATTTGTTTTGCGTACTTTTTCCATCGTTATATTTTATGATTGTCCGAGCAACCAAAGAAAATTATTCACCTGCCATCCTCCACCTAGAACCTTAAAATGAAAAGTACATTTATATTTTGGAGATTATCCAAGTTGTTACCCAAAAGCTTTTATTGCTAGATTTTCAAGAAAAAAGTTGTCATCTTTTTCGTTTCAGAAAGAGTAATGTTCGAGCCTGCAAAACAGTCGAGAAACAAGAAAACATGGGGTGGTTATAACTAAACAGAACACTTCAAAGTTGACCGGTGTCATGTAAACATTAGAAAAACCAGGACTACTAACAGCAAACATGTAAAAAAAGAAACGCAGCTTTTCAAACAACTTTTCAGATGCCCCATTATTCAAAACATAGCAATTTTGCAATAAGTTTTCTGAAAACATGGCCTTTGAAGATATTGGCAAACACCGTACAAGTAATGTAATAGACTTTGTGTTGGGTTGCATCACCCGAAGCACTTTGAGTTGGTTATAAATAACAGCTGCTGTTTGGCTAACGTCAAAGTTGTCGAGCTTGTTACCTAAATGCATTTCATTGGATGCTATCTCCAAAAAAAAAACAATATCACCGGCCAAAGTATTTTCCATTTGTTGACTAATCGAGGACAAATTCGTTTTACATAGTTCTGATGAAGTTTAGGGTCCTTTTTTGATACAGCACTCCTAATTAAGGTCTCTAGTGACTAAGCCATTTGAAACACAAGTTACCAGAAAAAGACGTCCAAAGGCCTACGTTAAACTAATTAGTGCGACGCCTAAAATTCCAATATAAATTTATTGAGCCTAGATTCTATACAACGGACGAAGTTTAATGTAAATAAAATTGCTCACAGCAAAGGCAACGAGTTGATGGATTAAATAATAGAAGACAAATATGATCTATTCTAGTTGTAGGGAACGAGTGCCACAAGAAAATGTTTCCCTCTGGATTTGCCACGTGTTTAAAGTCCTTACATAAACTTCAGCCGCAACCTGTTCCTCTGCGTTGCTACAACATGTAAAACGTGCTCACAAAAACCAGTAATGCATTTATTGTTCCATCGAGAAAAAGACTAATATGAATTATTTGTTCCCTATCGTTCACCTTGTTTTCGATGAGTATCGATGACCCAGGGGAACGGTGTAACAATATGATGAGATTCTTTGCTTTACTTTTTGCAGAAACGTGAAGCCTAATCAAAAGCAATTATCTTTTAAATGAGATTAAGGCAAAAAATGAATCAAAAATGCCAAGCAATCATTACAATACGTCAATATTTGATACTGATTCACAGATTCATTATGTTGTAGGAATGGCAGTGTATGAAATAGCTATCCTGTTCTAAAAGAAACTGCCAAGTGAAGCTTTCCTCAGAAACCTTGAATGGTAAAGCATCAGAGACACTTTACAAACTGTATGTTAATTTCTTCTGGTATATTAAGTTGAAATTTGTGATTGTCTTGTTATAAACTAAATCATCACCGGAAATTACCAGCCCCCACATCTCGCCTAATTTCATTCAACTAATAAACGTGCTGAGTAGTGAATTACCTACACGTATAATTCAAAAAACCTGGTACAGACGTTCGTGGAATGTGATAGTTCAGGCGCTCAAAACAATAGATTTCCACTCTCTGCTAAATATTTCTAATTTTTCTGGGAGTTTCTGGTGCTAAAACATCGGCGTTTGCTCATTGAGGAGAACATCCAAACACAGACTGATTCTGCCTGATTTTGTTTGAAAAATATGCCTACTTATCACAAAGCTGTTTGAAACGTCAAAAATCGCATTCCTCTCTGGATCATTTGCAGTCAGCCCAGAATTTAACTTGTGGAAACTTGATACATATTTTATCAATGTAGATGCGCTTAACCCTGCTTAGGAGAAAAACGACGCTCACCAAGTGATTATTAACGCAGAGAACAATCACCAAATATGAGTCGATTTGCAATATTGGCTGTTAGAAATGAAGGATAGGCCGTGCATCCACGAATCGTTGACGTATAGAAATGTGCACTTGTCGCATGAGATAATTCCACCTCGGAAGCCAATACTGAAATATTCACTCACAGAAAAGATAAGGAAATCTAGATTCCTTTTATTGTCAAGTAGAAAGGATACGGTCGAACGAAGTCATGCCACTTGGGGCATTGTAGGGATCTCCAGAGCCATCTTGCCAGAACTGTTTTACAATTCAAGGACCATGGAAGAGCGCAAAGCAAATAGTGTCGTTCAAGTGGTATGAACATTCAACCAACTTATATCACTTGTTTGCTAAGATTTGTTTTTCTACCGCATTAGGAGAGAGGGATTTTCGCCTGAGGTGAAGTTACTAACGAGTAAATTTGCCGGATATATTGACAGTTAGTAGCATCTCTTTCTTCTTTAAATATACAGGACAATAATACAGAACGATACCCAACTGTCAAAATCTAACATCCCAGGGTGTATGCTGTTTGAAGAACAAGGTTTCTGAGGAAACCATTTTACCATACCTCGTGTGGATGGCAAGGCACGATAAAGACAGTTGAAAGAATATATTTTCGACTTCTGAAGTTTATCGAGTTGGTTTGGAGTAGTTAGCTGCGTTTGACTCTAGTTAAACTTTTTGTACTACTTGCATCTGAATAATTTACCAGCTCGTTGGGTCAGGTTAAAAACCTTGCTGCGTCCAGGAGATAAGATAAGATAAGGGAGGAAGATCCTCTTTGCCGATGCAGTCCGTACTAACGTCCTTATAATATGAAGCTTATGGTGTACTAATATTTACTCCTAGGTGACAGGAACAGCAGAGTATCCATCAGATGTCAATTTGTCTAAGTAAGTCGGCAGCTGGTGATAATACGATACATAAAAGGCAATGTAAGGCTGTTCAAGAGAGTTTTGAGCTTTTGTTCATAGGCCAAATATTCAAATACCATCCAAAAACACGAAAATTGAGTATCTACGGGACAGAGTTTAATCATCCTTGGTATAGCTTTTATATCGCTCGGAATGTTTCATATAGGTTTGGCAATGTTCTCTCACACACCACTGGAAATGAGGGTCGGTCATGTGAAAAATCTACAATGGTTTGCGCGCGTCCTTAGTCCAATGAGACAGCTGGTAGATATCAACCCATGTTTATGGTGTTTATCCGAAGACTGATCGATGTCCGCATACTTTTGCACACACACCAACTCCAGATTTTACACTCGTAATTTTGAAATCACTTCATCCTCCTGATTTTGGGGATGACAAAAGGAAATTGATCAGTCTGCTTTTGCTTCATTTACAATAAACGATATTTCCAACTCTTACACTACGCCTTCAAGTTAACCAAACTGGAGTTTCATCCCCTTGTTTCGACAAAGAATCATCGAAGATAAGATGGAACCTGCCTCATGATAAGATTACCATGCAGAGCTTTAACTACTGCTATAAGAAACTATCTGGCACTATCCTTCTGGTATCCGTGACTTGACACATACTAATGCAGTCACTACTTTTGTGGGAGTAGTCGATGATCCTTCGGGGAAACGACTCAGAAACCAGGATCGACAGCTGCAGAGAAGTAACAGATATTTGTCCTAAAAACAGAACTTCAAACAAGCATTACTGCACTAAATTGAGTTGCTTGCCTAAGGATATTTCTTTTTGTTTGGTCGGCGTCAACATAAAATCTGCGGGTTTAGAAGCAACTGAAGAACGTGGAGGTTAATTAACGTCCGCAGTAGGGTGGAAGGAGAAGCACTAGAGATGCTATTTATAGAAATGACACGCCCCAATTAGAACTTGTTGAGTGACTGCAAAGAGATTAGGAACTTAACTCTGATGAAAGATGTAAGAACCTCACCATCCGAATCACCCGTTCACCGGCTAGCATGCTGATGAATTTCATGAATTTGTAAATTCCTGTGAACCAACTACTAACTTATTCAAACATCAATCTGAATAATAATGAAAATTTAAAATGCCTTACCTGAATTTGACCAGTAATTTACTAACCGTTTACTCACATTTGCCCATGTGTTTCAGAAGAGGTGTATCCGTGACGATTCAGACGGATAATTTTAAGTTCATTAAAACTTCATCATTAGATCCATCTGATGGGCTAAGCGAATCAACTTTAATCACCACGCCAACCTTGCATTAACAAACGATCCAGATAATACGAGTAACTAAATTCGATTACTTTTTTCTAATTATGCGGTCGGAAACCTTGTAGTCTCTGAAAAATTTCTCATGAGTGCATTAGAGCCAGTTTTCGTGTACCGTCAGTCAGATTTGCCCCCTATCCTTAAGTATTGACAGCGGAAATGCAGTGTGCATTTCCTTTATTGTGCTATGATTTCTAAAGACAACTGGTAAAAGCATCAAACGTGGCTGTGTAACCTATAATCCTGTAACTAAGAATCCACCGAGCCACCATTACAGTGACCTTCAGCAAGTCCCAAGAATTTCGAATCTTTGGTTAGGTCATGGTAAGTACTGATTGTAGGCACACAATCTTGTTGACTTATAGGAGTTTGATAGAACAACGCTGTGAAGACGTCAAAAATTTTAGATCAACCACTGCTCCATCTTTGAAATGCTAGGGTGTGAGCAGATTTGGTGTTGCTGATCCAGCACGGTGGATTATTCACTAAAACCTGTGATGCAGGCTGCTTTAAGGCACTGCCATTTGCGAGTCAGACTCTGTTACACACAAATATCATGTTGCTGCCGTGTAATATTCTTGATTGAAACACCAGTAGTATTCCACTAAAATTTCTTTCTAGCAGCTCCTATAGAGATAACAGTAGTTTATTCGATGCCAAACCTAATGGCGGATGACAAATAACTGATCTTTAGTGAATGGCTGAACTAGTATTCTATGTGGTGATCCTGAGCTTTGCCTTGTGGAATACTGGTTAACGACTGGCGTTATGAATGAGGGTTAGATTGGCCGAGAAATTAAACAGACCATTCTTGTTAAAATCATAAAGATTTACAAACATCATTAGGAGGCAAACATGCGACCGAGGTATATCTGTGGTTACTGTATATTTCACGGTCAGGCCTGCTCAAATAACATAGAACATTCATACTTACCGATGAAGTTTGTCATACTTGCTTGCGCGCTGCGAAACATCTGTTATCATTAGCTGCCCTCGGTTATATACTTGCGCGTGCTTACCTGTGAGCCAATCACAATAAGGTGTTGAGTGGATTTGTGATCCATCGGGTAGGCGTTTCGTAAACCACAAGTTTACTCCTAACTTCTTTGAGGAATCCCCTAATGTGTTGTTTATTTAAAACGGTCAATATGCTTTGCAATTGAACAAGTTAAATCCACTTGGACACTCCTACAACAGCATACAACTTATCAAGAGATCTGGACAACCACATTGCATGCAAACACGGTCCCTGAGTCGTCGTTGATATTAAATTATATTCGAACGCCAATTTTCCCGCTTTTGGTGAGACGCGCCAATCGGCAAAACCACTTTGGTTTTGAAGGGCAGACAAGTTACTCCCGACTGAGATGTTTCGCTTTTATATTCTTGGAATGACTAAGCTGCACAAAAGCGTTATCGGGCTTCAGGTTCATGCATCTCAATAATCAAGACACCAGGTTGTATTTCTTGAAGAAGCATACTAGTTTTAGGAATTCTGAAGTCCCTTCAACAGACCACGACCAAATGTTTTGCAACAGAAACCTAGTAAGTGTTCATCATCATCTCAAGCAGATACTATGAAGTACTTTAGTGAATACGGTGAATTACTGTTGATACGTGATCTGGTAATGAGACACAGACAAAAGCTTGGTCAGGCCTCTTTCATTATAGCTTGGTAATAACTCAGAAACCGAGTCAAATTACATTGACTTATCCTTTCTCTAGCACTCTGTCGTTTGCTGACCCTTTCACAGTCATCATTCAAAGTATAGGCTGGTAAATAAGGCTGAAAAGATTGGTCTGTTCGGTCACCTCGGGAACATGAACTCAGCTTAGACCTCCACTGATCTTTGGACAGATTGACATCCATGGTGTACCGGTTCGCCGATTGTAAGGACTGCTTGGTTCGAGTTAGCCCAGCTTTCGTCAATTGAAATCGGGTTGGCAGACAAACATTAAATTAAAAGCTCTTTTGCCTTACACCGTTTCACAATGTATTGGTAAGGACTGGTAGCTCGATAAGTTTGTACTAATTTTGCTGTTCCTGGATAGATGAAGGTAAACCATGAACCATGGCTTCGTTTCACAATATCTGAGTGACTGGCACGGAGCAGCTGAAGTATCCAATCGAATCCCAATTGTCGTAAGAGTGACAAAATTCGTCGATCAAGGATTCCCACAATTCAGTGCAATTATGAATGTGCTGGACAAATGTTATGCATTTCGATTGCAATATAAATCCACTTCGAAGTGCCACTTTGTCTTTGCAGTGATAGTTTAATGGTAGACACAGGTGTCATTATAACACTAACAGGCTACCACAAAGCTTTTTAGAGATAAAACCGGTGTAAACAAACCAACAAACAAGATTCCTTCTCAGACTTAATACACTAATCACGAGGTTGCTGTTGAGAACCGGCTTAGAAACATCATAAATGAAGAGATTTAACTTGGTTTCAGGTAAGTCTTCGGTCACTACCAAATTGGTACTCAAATGAGCGTATTTCACTAATTTCGTGCAATTTGGATTCGAGTAGAAAATAATGTTGGAAGACACTCGGGACTGCGTCTACATGATAAGTCCCAAGGACAACAAAACCGACCGTTATCATTCGAAGAGTTTTCAGCAACCTTGTAAGTGGTGTATTAGGTCGAATATCGTAGCAACTGGAACATGAGGTGCCCTGGTGCAGCATACTCAGTTGCTTGAAAACACCATAACTGAGGGATTCAAATGGATCTAAGTTGAGTCTCCCGTCAAAGCCAGATTGCTATGCAAATGTGTCTATTTCATTGAGTTTCATTTATGCTATTTTTCAGGCCACCACTGTTCACAACATTGAGTGAAAAACCAAGTGCAAGGTGTTCATTAGGATAATAAATTAGTTTATTTTCCATAGTGTCAGCCTGGGTGTATGAGGAAACTGACAGTACGATGAGTCCTTCAGCAGTCACTCCCTTGTTCCTTCACCTAAGTTCGCTCAGTTTGTCTAACACATGCGCACCCACCAGACCGCGCGCCGCAAACACCCCAATCACGCAACAGAATCATATCTCACTGGCAACTTGTACACTAAAATTTCTTGTCCATTTTGTTTACCCGGCTACCACCTGCACCACCTGCCAGGCTACCTTCAACTACATCAGGTCAAGTTGTATTCAAATAAGTGCGGATACTAACCCCCTCTTCACATTGTACACAATGAATAGGCATAGAATTCGGCGCAACACATACACGTGCGCACAGGGCGGGAAGTCAGCCAAGCTCCACATGTCCACGGATGATTACGGAAAAGGCGTAGCGCCTATAGTGCGGAGATAACACGTCTCACGCTTGGGTCTTCACACAGGAACTCTCACCAGTCGTCCTCGGACGATGACTCACTAATTGACCTGTCGCATTGTACTTATGTTATGAAGGTTGACCTAAATATTGTAACCATCGTCACTTATAAAACAGACAATTTTTAGTGCCTGACAACTTCTGATGATTAAGTTATTCACTTTGCACCTAGAGTACTGAAATTCCCAAAAACAAATCCTTTTGGGAACAAAACTGCAAGATCCCTCCGGCTATCCGAAGGATGCAACCATCAACATAATTAAAACAGTCGGATGACTTAGATTCCGCTAAATATTGCAATATCATTTTTTCTAAAATGGTATAGGGTAGCAGGTGTCAATATCCTGTTCAACCCACGTTACTTGCGTGCTAATGCATTTACTGACAAACCTGACAATATCGTTTTAAAAGACAAAGGCCTTATTTTTTTATTTTCACGCCTGAATAGTGTTTCAATTATGTGCTGCTCTTCTAACGCAAAGCGTGGTAAAGTAAATTTACGCATCATCGCTCATTTTGGTCTACATTTTTGTGTTAATCCCGAACGTAGAATAGATTGGCTTTAGTTACAAGATAAAATATGACAAAAATTCTCTCTGCTTATCTTATTGTCAAAAGTGATCCATTTTTGATCAGAGAAACCAGGTTTCTTTCGTGCCAACTGACATATTCGTGGGTAGAAATAAACATGACCTACAGAATAACGTCCTTTGGGTGAACGTTTCCACCCACCTAACTGATTTATGGTCATTGATCGCGCCCGTCAGTGCGAAGAAACTATTTGAATAATCCGTAGTTGGAATGAGCCTGTCTGAAATAATGACTCATTTAGTGACTCATACTTATTTCAGCAAATTCCCTCGTTGTACTGACTGCTTTTATTTTAGCACTCACCGATAATGTTGTAGGGTTTATCGTTACCGTCTCTAAACTAGTTCGTCTTCACGTCAGGTGTCACCGAACAATCGGATGATCATGTGCTTTTTTAATTATGGTGCATTTTCAAACGAGACTCTTTTCCTATCCAAACCATATTGCATACATCAATGTCATACATATGAACTACAGCTCCTGGCAAACAATGTATCACATGGTAGCTTTATTGAGTGACAAAAAACCACATATGGAATAAAACTGATTGGCCGAAGAATAATACCTTAGCATCCAAAACCAAACGAAAAGTACAATCATGGATAGATAACTTTGGAATCTTGTATCGCTTCATTTGTATTCGCACCACAAATGAGGACCGTTTTTTCTCACAGAAATTATTGACCAAAACCCCAGAGGACCTTTCTAATAGTTACTGGTAATCAGTCGGAACTTTTGTTTCCCTCCAGATGGCAATTATATTGTCTGGATTCTGACATAAACGATATCTGTCTTTTGATGCAATCCATGCGTAGAATTTCCGGAAATCTTGTGGGGTCAGAACATCGAACGAGATGTTTTGATTTGCATATCCGCCTACTCATAGATCATGTCGGTGGAATCAGACTTCGCAGTGAGCAATGTGTACCAAATCTGATAACAATATGCTGGAACGTCCCGATTGCTCTACTCATATTTGCCTAGAATGGTTTACGACCGAAACGCAGCCAAACCCAGTAGGCCAGCGAAATACTACAAAGTTAAGTATGAGTTGGGTTGGAAAGTCAGCAATGTTTGTGCTTTTGGAAAACATTATACCTGGGAGTTTAGCACTATACCCGGTCGTAAATCCCCAACTTTTCTCCAGCGCTGGCACGAGACAGGTTGACTTTGTCCGAGTTGTTTACTGATTCTACTCTGAAATTTGATATCATCAGATATGATGTACTGTAGTATTAAACACTTAAATCTCCGACATCAACTTGGTGCAGGTTTTTTCCAGAACATAAAATTGTTACATAAAATTGTTAATTTTTTGCCATGCTTATGCCGAACAACCTGCAAGTAGTATCGTTAAGAAGACGTGAATTATTTGGATTCTTTCATGATTTGCCCGTCAAGAGGTCGTAACTAATAGTAACCACAGGGTCCCAGAAGTCTGTACATTGCGGGCCACTCTAGTTAATCTTACAAGCGAACTCTAATTTCAGCTAATGGAACTGAGCACATTTGACTAAATTAGCATGTTCTGAATGTAAACGAAGGGCTTTTGCACTCCGCTGTGAAGGCGTATACTTTAGAAATCAGCAAAGCGGACTGGTCTTTGATAAACTCAGTTTAAAAATCTCTGTATGCTCATCTTCCAGTACAAAGTTGGGTGAAGTCACCATACGACCTCACGCGTAGCGGAGTACATTTGAAGTCACTGTTTTGCTCAAATCGTGGCTTGCGCGTCGTTGATATACTTACAGGTATAAGCCAAGGATTATTGATGATTATTGAGAGCATTTTCTGTTCATTCATTGGAACGTGTGACGTTCTCTCGGTAGGTTAAATTTTTTGCCAATTAGTCTGCATAAACGGCCGTGTAATTACTGCAACCTCGCAGCTCCTCCACAGTGGCGCTAGCGGCACTCTAGGGTGAGTGAATGGCCAAATCAGCGCCACTCCGAGAATGAAGTTAGTTCTGAGACATGTCGCGCGGCTTACTTTTTCGGATATCCGTTATGTTGTAGAGCCTTGGTTGCCCATTACCTTTCCTGGTTGCAAGTCTTTGGTAGAAAAGAGATTTGCAATACCTCCAGTGCGTAGGTTAGCTCATAGCGGACTTGCAATATCATAGTTCAAACA